ACACAACACACACACACACATATATATATATATATATATATATATATATATATATATATATATATATATATATATATATATATATATATTTAGAAAGGAAATAACATAATATCCAAAAAAACAATACATACACATTGCAAACAGCTGCGGTATCAAAGATATGCAACTACCATGAAAAGATAGTTGACCTAAAACCAGTGTAACGTGGACTATCTCATATCTAATTACTGCTGGCATGTAATGAGTTGCATGAGTTTGAAAAACTATAATTATTCTTTAAAGGTTCCGAAAATATGTGCAGTTCAAAACGTCCTGACTACTATATACAACTAGACTAGAAATACATGCATGCAGCAACTCCATTTTTGAGATCAGTGAGGATGACCACCTATCGTTGGTGACCCACGCCCGCGATTATTGATGAACTTTAGACTTCGCTAATGCTTTCGTTTCCCCCGTTGTAAATAGCCGGCGGGAATTAGTACCCTCGCATGGCGCTTCGCACCGTCGGCTCGGGGAAAATATGTTGGTTTTATTAATAACGCAGAGATGCTTTCGAATTTAAGTATTGTCCCTTATAATTCTGTACTTAAGTTCCATAAAATCGGTGACTAGATGTGCTTACTTGACTAACATTTAATGTAACTCAAACCTTGTGTTTTCCTTCATATGGAGCAACCGCCAATGTGTAGTAAGCGTCCTTGAACCTCTGTGAGGCCCCGGAGTCTACCTGATCTGAAATTAACAAAGGATTTGCTATAGGAGCTTCCGGGACACCGTAATAGTCTCCTCCTAGAGCGATGACGTCACCAAATGTCAGACGTACTCCATTTGGAAGGGTAAGGAGATTCTTTTCACTAGAATCTATATGAATAAAACAAGATATTGGTTAAACTTGTTGGTAAAACAGGTACGATCGTACTATAGTGCACCAGGAACTACGTGACCGAGTTCCGATCTTGTGCAAATCGTTAAACGTTCTGAAGCCTTCGAGATTTGGACTTGATAAACAAATAACTAGGCACGTGTGAAATTAATAATTATCGAAGTGTTGGAAGCGTACACTGAGGTCGATAAATGTTTTACTCTAATTTGGTTATGCAAGATATTTATCCGGGCAAATATGTGTCTAGTATCGTGTACAAATGAGGTGTAAATCTGGACAAAGCATAGAAAATGCGCAGTTTTCAAAAGTATTTCCTTTGCCGTGCCGTGTAAACGGGGCTTAAGTTATGGTAACAAATTATCTGAATTGTTGCTAAGTTAGCAGCTTCATAACTACGCGTTTGTGCTAAAAACAAATTGACATGTCTTTTCCTTGTGGCTTTCAATTTTCTATGACTATGAATATTATATGATAGCCAGATCGGAGTATTATTCCTCTGCGCTTTGAGAAACCAAGCCAGCGTGTTAAATTTAATCCAACTTAATTAACGCTTATAATTAATCGTTATAACTAGTCGTTCACATTCTTGAGAAGCTTTAGACTATTGTGATTGTCTTAACAACAATAATAGAGAAGACCATGTGGGCCGTTGCAATTGGTTGCGTTCCGATATCGTTTACTTTCATGCAGCATGAAATATTTTTACGGGAAATGAAATATTTTTACGGGAACTAACACGTTCTCACAAACAGCTATTATATCTTTCATAATTTCACAACAAATTGTTTCATTGTCGAACGACACGGACGTTAAGACTAAAATAGTAAATTATACTGTATGCAAAGCCAATTCTCAATGGCAAGAACAGTCACGAGACAGTGTCCATATGCAAAGGATGCATTGAATAAAGTCAGGTATGTTTGCTTGAGTAATTGTTTAAATGATGAGATGTTGGAAAAGCCATGCACAGGAGCTGATTTGCAAATAGTGTTCCAGAGTTTGACAATCCGGTTGTAAAAGGATGCCTGAAAAGCGTTTGTCTTACAACGTGGAGCTTTCATAACTAAAGGAATCTGGCTGTGTCTGGTGCGGCCATGACCTATAAATGCAATATATTTATTGACGTTCACGTCGATGTACCCATATAGGCGGCGCGAAGCGCCGTGCGAGGGTACTAATTTCGCACGGCTAATTATACCCGGGTATGTGAAAACATGGCGGAGTGCAAAGTCTTTCTCCATTTTGTTTATGTCATGGACGGTTTTCGTCGTTATGCGCATGCGCGAGTACAAACTCTGTCGAAGTGATTGTTTTTAATTTTGAAAGGACGTATTTTGCTGTTTTATTTTGCTGGGTTTTTTTTAAATTTCGTTAAAAAGTTTACAAAAGTACAACACGTTTTTTTTCTCGATTTTAACTGGAAATAATCCTGCAGTTTTACGAATTAGTGGCTGTTCAATCGTGAAACAAAGTTTGTATAATAATTATTTTGTTGTTTTTATTTTGATGTCTTTGATAATTTAGTCGTTGTTGTGCCGGTTTGGGCAAGTGTAAACACTTCAGTAGTAAAATTCCATGCCGTACTTGCTTTGTGTTGTCGGTTTTATTCATATCTGCGTAATTTTTATGCCATTCTTATTAACTCGATAATATACAATTGCTTTATGGTTTCCGTGTTTGGATGGCTTGATCCAAACACGCGGGAATGTTGCGAGGGTGAAGAAAAGCGAGCGAAAACACGAGCCGAAGGCGAGTGATTTTGCCCGCTTTTCTTAACTCGAGCAACATTCCCAAGTGTTTGGATCATTCCATCCAAACACGGAAACCATAAAGTAATAGTTTTATAAAATAACAACAACACGATAGTCTTCCGTGTTTGGATGGTCTGATCCAAACACGGGTTTCGACCAATCAGAATACGCGTTATATACATGTTATTTTATAAATATTTTTCATTCATTACAAGGTTGTGTGGTGACTGGTGGTGTTTATAATATTTCGACTTAATTGAAATAATAGGATACGGTACATTCTAATATCAAGTACATTAAACTAATTGCACTTCCACTGTTTTGCATTCACAAACAAGCATGACAATACTGCCAGCTAATATCTGATCATTTCAAGTAAAAATATTATAGACATTCATACAATATCAAAACATTTGTTAACCTGAAGCCACAGTATCCTGGACCACAGTATAGGGAAACAAGTGGGAATTATTTAAGCTAGGTCCCAGCTAGGTGTCTTACGCGGCTAAAATCATTACTCTGTGATACAATTTTATAGTGAACTTCTACCATTTACTGGCTGCCAATATGTAAATTAGGTTGGCAGCCAGTAAACAATGTTGATACTTTTTTACGCTGAGTGGCCCTACTATTGTTTCCCTATACTGTGTCCTGGACTGGGGTAATTTTGATTTACGTTGGACAAAGCTACAGTTCGGTACGGGCACCAATACACTCGGGTCGGACAAACAATAAACCCGAGTTTCACTAATTTGGTCTGACAGAATGTCCAGTGGTTTCTTCTTTACATCGGACAATTTAACAAATGGGTTGGACAATGTCTGTGACCAACCGATATTTTAAGTCTGAAAGTTATTAATTTTATGGATTTAACCAATCAACAACCGATCACTATCCAGTTGATAGAATGACCCAGCTTTAATTACAACTGGCCCCTTGATGATCATATTTGGATTTGAATAATGCATAAATATTAAATAATTTAATAGAAATATACATACTAGAATGTAAATAAAGTAAAAACAGGTTATTAAAAATAAACAAAACTTTGCCAAATTGTTCCATTGTCTATCTTCAAAGTCCAAAGAAAATTACAACAGTTACTATATCTTTGCCAGAAAAAATCAGGGACAAGTTTCTCAATGTGTTATAGATCCTAAAATAAAAAAAGAAAGGATTATTAAATCCAATGCAATGTTTTCACCCACACAAATTGTCATTTGCTTCGCACAAGGTGGGCTACTTAGGTGGGCTACTAGTAGGTGGGCTAGCTAGCATGTAAATATTGGGGTTCGGTGTCAGGCAAACAACCACTGTGTAAAATATTTTCCTCCAAAAATGCATTTTAATATATTAGCAACATCAAATATCATCAAAAATGTTTCATGTTCTTAATAACCCATTAAGCAGAACTTTCCCATTGACGAGTAGAATCGTTAGACAAGTAAAAAATAAGTAGGGCACACTGGGGCGCATTGTGGCTCAATGGATTAATTATGAAATTGATTTTACTCAATCATGCAATTTCTAGAGAAAATGTTACAGGCCTCTAAACCTTATCTTATATGCCAATTTTTGAATCTTGATATAGACTTGATAATTCTAAACAGTATAATTTCATTTCCATTAGTGCATGGCCAGTTAAGTATGTACTGCTTAAATTAAATCATTCAAAACCATGATAAAAAGGTCTTCCTCTATAGGTATACTGATATAATAGAAAGCACTTTAATTTTACTAAGTAGTATCATGAAGGAGATGGTTGTCAACTGACATTGTATATTTATTACTATGTATATAGTAAAATTTGAAATAACAAATTATATGAAACTATAAAATCAGAAATTTCAACCATTTTCTTTCGAGGAAGACTGTTTCTCGTATTAATATAGTTTTGGCAACCTAATTGTATACATCAGTTGCTAAAATTGTCCACTACTCAGTACAAATAGGCTGTTTATTCCTTTATTTCGCTTTGTTTTGACCTAGTACTGACAGTCAGTACACTATCACAAATTAATATTGAACATATATCATATAAACAGTGTATTTTTAATATCTTTACAAATAATGTCTTTCCAAAATTTCTTGAGGTTTGAAGATTCATTCACTGTCTTCCACTAGCCAGGATGATTCTTACTACTTGTGCAACTCGAAATAAATGTTAAAATGTCGAAGAGAAGGCAAACACCGAGGCAAACTCCAAAACAAAAGCTAAAATGTTTTTTCGAAAATCAGGGGGATGCGAAAGTGGTAGCGGGCTCAAAATGAGCCTTGCTCAGTGGTAATTACCATGAGGATTTGGGACCAGTGGCGTCATTCTGGCGTCAGCAAACGTGAAAATCCGCCATGTTTTTGGCTTCACTTGCTTGACTGAAGAGAGATAGGAGCACTTCCTCCAGATATATTATAGCTCAGTGGTACTAACTCGAGGATAAATGGATTTGTGCTCTTGCGCGGGTGCGCCTTTCTCTTCTCGCTTTTGTATATAATAAGTTACTTTATTTCAAAAGCAATAAGCTTTGGTTTCGAAAGATATAGATATTTTTTTCTTCTAGTGACTCGATCAGTGTTATGCGTTATCTGAGGATACTAATCAGTTATCATTCATACTATATGGTTCCTCACAAAACAATTACTATATAGCCTACCTAAACAAATCATTTAGCCTTATACATATACTTGCTTACTTACTTAATTTAAAAATTTATTGAACCACGCTGACCATACACAACATATTTGTAAAATACATACTCTTGCGAGTAGCTAAATCTAGCCTAGACATAAATTAATAACTGAAATCTGACTCAGCATAGCAGACTCAACGTGATCGATGGCGGCAAGGGTAAAATATATCCTCAACATATTCGACCTCACT